TTAGAATATTGTTATCAGAAAGAAAAAAAAAAACGCTTTTTACTGCTTTAAAACTGTAGTTATAGTCTTATTAAACATACCAAAAATAAATAAATATAGCGAATGTAATATATTTTTATCCTGTTTAATTGTTTTGTTTATTCTTTTATATTTTTAATATTATAATTATCTCTGAAAACGATCGAAAATAGCTTTGTATATTGCGATAAAAAGTCCGTAATTGTTTTCTTTCGTTCTCTCATTGGACAGTTTTAAAGTCAGATTTTAAATTATTAAATATTAAATTATAATAATCTAATTTCATTTTTAAATTATAGATATAATTGTGTATATATGTAATAAATTGCGTGCCTTGTGACTAAAAGTTGGTAGTCCTTGACTCAAGCCCTATTATCCCTTTTATAAATCCGCTACTGAGTGTTTGGCATATCATGACTTGGCCAGCCAGTTCACACATTGGCCAAACAAATCGGCCAATGTCCGATGCACGTGCTAAACATTTGTCACTTCGAGATTTATCTGGCCAATTCGGAATTTAGTTGACGATGACTGAACAAAACGTGTCATGTTACAGACATATTAGGGCCAATTTGTTGCCATTCTGTTATTCACTCGTGACAGTATAAGCAGGAGTGTGTCATTTCAAGCTGTTCGTGTTCTAATACTATATTTATTATTTCAAACATCTTTTAATATAGAAAAAGATGTTTGAAAGTCGAGGCGAGAAGTCATACGGTATGAGGATATAAAGTTGTGAACGTGTAAAAATATTTAGAAAATACAGTATTTTGTATTTATTATACTTATGTATTTTCCAAAATAATACATTAACATTTGTTCCTTCTAAAGAATAAATATAAGGATCATAATCAATACATCCTGCTGAAATTTTGTTTGTCTTATTGTATATTTTTTACCAACTCTAATAATGTCAATCAATCAATCAATCAAACAAAGTTTTATTTGCATATAAGGCTATAGCCTGTTACAGGGAGTATTAGCTTTACAATTTCTTTTCTCTTCATTTCTATTATTTAATAATCATATTTTTAAAGGTTTTACTAACATTATTATACAGTAGTATCTATATATTTCGCTAATACTGGCTTTATCCAACTTTCTATACATTTCTTTTTCTCCCTTACAATTATTTTGTTCTTTATTAGTTTTTAGTTCATGTTCTTGTTCTTTGTTCTCCACACTTACATATAATAAATGTGATTTCGATAGTTTTTTCTTACATATTGGACAGTTGAATTGTTCATATTCTAAGTACTTATCGTTAATCATTCCTTTTTGGTTAAGTCTAAATTGTATAAAAATTTTTTTAACGTTAAATGCAATATTAGTTTTCATATAATTATTAATTGATGGGAAGTTTAAGATCTCAGAATAACAATTATTTTTTCTTTTTTGAATGTCTTCTGTATCTTGTATTATTGAGTGTTCTGTTACTCTATATATTAGTTGACTGATTCGTTGATCATTATTTTGGAGATATTCGAGCACTAATTCTATCGAGAACCCGTATATATATTAAAGATTTTCAATATTTGCATTATCCAATTGCACTTAATATCTTTAATTCTTAATTTTTTATATAATAAATGTACAAGTTTTGTCGTCAAATCTTTTGCATTGATCATTTTTTGTAGAAATTTTATATAGCGTTTAATCAGTATTATATTGTCTAACAATGTCTAACAATAGTTAAGAATAATAATGTCTAACAATGTGTTAAGAACTTTCACACTACTCTAAATTATAATAAATAATTTAGAACAGGCTTCTATTTATAATCTTTTAATAGTTAAAGCTTAAACAAACATTTATTTGTAAAGCACAAGGGTTGGAAATACGTTTTTATTTTGGTCGCCATTTCGGGCTTTGGCCTAAACATATATATAGCTTACTGGGCCAGAAATAAGTGAGTTGGAACGTAATCAATTACAAATACCCTGTCTTTTTATAAAAGACGAGAAACGTATAAACAAAATCAATAAAAGAAATTAAAAAATTATCACCTACTAAAAACAAAACCCTGTAATTTAGGGGCTACCCGTAAACTACATCCGCTATTTTTCTTGAAGTTTTTACTCCCTCTTCCCCATTGTCCCAGTTTGTCCAAGTTACCTTAACCCCCTCTCCTCTTCGAACGTCTAACAAAACTCAACCCTCCTCAAAATTTTTATCACTTTACGAATAATAAAATGTATAAACTATATATATAGAATTTAATGAAATAAAACGGACGTCCATTGAAGTTCCTTGTCTGATTTTATCCGTCTCATAACCTCCCCCTCCCTTCCAGTATGGAGGTCATTTATGGATTCTCTTATATTATTTTCGTATTATATTTTTACGTAAAACTCTAAATTTTATAACCTTTTCTGTGTCCGGTACGGATCTTAGTGACTTTCTTTATATATATAATATATAATACATTGTTATTATAATATAGGCTACTAACATTGTCATAATGCAATAATGCAATATATGTATTATGCACTTTCCAAGTTACGATGGATCCAGACTATAACTGCACACAATTAACATTAGTAAACAATTTAAATAAGTAATAAAACAACTAATTGTTTTATTACTTATTTAAGTTGTTTATTTGCAAGTAAAAGTAAAGTAAGTAAGTAGTGCTGCATTAACTAATTAGGAGTGCAGCACTAATTAGGCTAACTAAATTATTAGTTAAGTAGTTTCTCTTTCTATACCTTTTTGGTATTCTTAGAATTGAATCTTACCAATAATGGATTATTTGTAAGAAAAACTAAGGTATGAGTATATAGTTATATCTAAGAAATAGTTAATCGGGGTCTTCTACCCTTAATCTTTTATGTCTTTTATCGGCTTTCATCTTTATCTAACTCCGTTCTCAGATTAAGGAAGGACAGACAGTCAGACAGACGACAGTGAGAATTTATAGGCAAGTTGTAATACTAAAAAATCTTTGAAATTCGTGACCGAAATCGCTTCAAAACCAGAAAAAAATGAGTTAAATTTTGAAATTTTTTAGTAAATGACAGAATTATTGTTTAACGGATTAAAAAAAAACCATACAATTTAATGCTTTGTTAAAGGTCGAGAGGTGGGGAGATAATGGGGTCGTGTATATCTCCAGTTAGGGTCAGATTTAATGACGATTTTACACGTTATCACTTACAATTTTTCATAAAAACCATCAAAATTGAGCTTTTTGTCATTTTATAATCGTACAGTGAAACCTGTTAAGATGTTGCCTAATAATTATCGTCTGCACATCGGATTTAACAAAATATCACGTACCTTAGATTATAATATAATATAATAAGTATATAGGAATATATTATCATCCTATATACAAAAAGAACAAATTAAAATGGTTAAACTGTCGTTTTCTTCATTATTGGAACAAGAACAGTGTGCCCATTTATCACAACTGCTACATTTAGCCCAACTCTCTGTAGATGCAGAGTATAACCCTCCACATTCTGTGTCATTTGTCTTTTGTTTCTTGTTAGGCCTACCCTTGCTGATGCCTGTAACTTTTGATTTTACGGAATTTTTTTCGGTAAAGAAAGACCGCTTTCCTGAGGTGCCGAAACTGTTATTGATTGTTTTTGTTGTTTCATCGGCTGCTGTTTGTACGGTGAATCTGTTAGGATTGATACTTTCTCTCTCCTTCTTCTATTTTCAATTATTTTTCTTGGTTCCAACATGTGGAATTGGCATTATTTCTATGTGAGAAACACGAGTAAAAACTGAATGAGTAGGCCTACTTGTAGTGATAATCGGAGACAGTTTTTGCACCCACATTAGGCATATCTCCACCTTCATGGTTTTAGTTGTCCCAAAACGAACATCCCCTATTAGATTATAGCCGATCTTACCCGTTTTCACTAGGTGTAAGAATTAGGTCCCCCCTCTTCCGAGACTAATTAGAGAATTTTTATATGGGTCTAAAAGTATATTCGATTTTTCACAAAAGCGCAGAAAACCGCATCTAAAATAGTACAGTAGAAACGGAGTTCTTCACGATAATTTTTAACTTTCTCCCTCTTTCAACTCCTAACCGTTTGAACTCTGAGCTTACTATTATTATTAAATCATCTCGATTATATTATAAGATTGTGAATGCTAATAACGAATAAAATATTCATTAAGTCCGACCACACTGGAGATATGACACAGGACCCCTTCTATGTCTCTACCCTGTCGACCTTTTAATTAAGAACCAACATTTAATAGCATTAATGCCCATTGTTTAACATGCAAAACCTATTAAAAATTTTCGTAAGAATTAACTTTAAGTTCAGGTTACTAAGAGTAAGCTGGAGTATGCATTAAATTAAAGAGCGGTAGAAACGTTTGTAGAGGAAATATTCGAACCTTTGGAAAGGGAATTTTTCATAGTGCTACGGCAGTTACGGAATGAAGATGTTTATAGTCAGATATGAATCGGCGATTAACATTCCATTCCCACATCCATCTATGGGAAAGCACAGAAGGAAAAGAATATGAGAAAAAGTCCTATTGTTATTATACCGATGTCTTTATGCTTCCTTTTCATTACATGTGCAGTGCTGAGATTCCATTGAGATGATGAATGTACCAGTGGTCGCGATTTGCACGTGCCAAATCGTCGGTTGTTGAGAACAGCGGCTGTGCTACAGAATTTGACCGCGGGGCAGAATAAAGATGCCATGTTTTGGTAACCCGGGGTTCCGGATTTACTCTCGCCAACGGAATCCATATTGCGTTGACTTACTGTGCAGTCGATATGAATACGACTATGATAATTCTATTCTGATTCCGATCTATTTTTTCGTACTTGTATTGTCGCCATCCCCCTCTATCCTTTTGTAGTGCCAGAACTAACAACAGCGCCGAACTTTATTGTACGCAGTCAGAAGTAACGGTAGGAAGCCACGTGCTCACGTGAGATGTTTTCACGGCCCGATGCACCTAATGGTCCTCTTGCGTAATCACCGACTTTCCCACGTCCCATTTTATAATACGCAGATAGAAATCCGCTTAATGGCTTCTCTAAAAAAATATATTTATCGCCATTGCTTCTTTAAGAATTACTATTTTCCTGCGAATTCTATTTCTATACAAGCATAACGACGACCGGTACTTAAAAGGTGAGAACAGGAAGATATTTTATTGTATTCTACACCTATTTATCTTTACAATTTTAATTATTTACGTATCTTTATATACTTTAGTCCTTTAATAATTTAGTCCTAAATAACAAGGACTATCATCTTCAAAAATTTATATAAAACTCAACTATATTATAATATAGGCGATGATTATGACATGAATGGAAGTTTGGCACACGAGCGGTGCGATTGGGCCAATTTTTACGAATGCCATAATCGCTAATTATCATACGGTATTTTGTGGTTAGACTAAACCTATAACACTATATTTATAGAACTCAAAATCATGTATAAACACAGTGTTTGTGGCACGGCTTTATGGCACAGCTACCACAAATACTGTGTTTAATCTAACTTTTAATTAAATTATAAGATTATTATCGTTTCAGTATTATCTACAATTAAGAGTTACAATTATTAATTAAGTAAATACTTAGAAAAATACGTGTTAATTTTCCTACAATCAGTAGGCCTACGTTGTAAATCAGCGAAACAATAAAGTACAGTGTTTTAGTAAATCGTACACCTTCATTTACTCGGAAGTTATTGCAAAAACATTTCATTTAAATTTTAAAAGTACTCAAATTATTATAAAATATATGTCGTTCCGACAATATTTTATTCCAGATAGTACATCTCGTTTATGGCGTTGTACATTAATATCTACTTACACGCCTATAATTCCGAGATAAGCATTCTCGTATTACTTATCTCTTCGTTTGCATGCAACACTACTTTCCTCCTTTACAAGTTATTCTATTTAACATGTTAACATTCCTTTACTTAACGCTGAAAAATTCTCTTTGGAAATGAGGTATTTTGCTAATTTACTTCGCTCTTAAATTTCACATAACAATAGCATTTTTAATTATACTAATCCATACCCTATAGAAATGTTTAAATATCGAAAAATATTGAAATTTTTAATTATTATTGTAAAAGGAAACTTCATTATTCATCAAAATTGCACAGGTTTTGGTCAAGAAATAAGGAGTAGAAAAGCTTTTAGAAATGAAATTTACTACTTTAATTTTGTGATTTAGAAAATAAAACTGATGTATTTGATGTTAATTCTCTAAAAGTGAATTTATTTTGTTAAAATACTGTATAATTTCACGTTATTCTTAATAGGAAAGTGTAAAATGATATCAATTTGTACACAATTTCTACAAGACGAATGCACTTTAATTTTGAATTTGTAGAAATTATTTTTAATTGTAATTTCTTTCACGTAATGTTAAATAGCGTATCGACTATAAATTCTCGTTAATACGTCCCCGGAGATAGCGTATTATTTTATATAAAAAAAAATAATAATATTTTAGACCGTTTTGGTCCATTCCTAAATTAAGAAGATTTAAGCTTTGATATTTTGAAATTTACTTTCGTTTGATATACGGTCACGACTATACTACGTCCAATTATTTAATTTATACTTAAAACATGGTGTTTACTTATTTATTTATTGTTTTTACCAAGGTAAAAAAAAAAACGATAGAAAATATACATCACGTTTGTTAGTTGCCGGAGTAGAAGTGTAATCAATAGGCCCGAGGGGATTCCAAATCTATAGTGATTTAATAGGGAGTCGATGCACGGGTCGATTGTAAATCAAAGGGATCGACACCCGAACTTGATAAACGGGAGACGATTTCGGTGCTGCCCTCTGGTGACAGAACGTGGAGGACGGAGGGAGAGATTTGTTACCAGAATGGCCCGTACGAGTCACACATATCACGTCCCGATCCGGTGCAATGCAGATTTATGGACAACTAGTTCTCGAACGTTTCCGTGAATAATGCCGTTCTTAGCTCCCATCCATATGTATGGTGTAGAGTCCGGCGTTGTTTACGGAGCTCCCGTGAATTATTGGGGTCCCGCTGAGAGGGGGTTGGTCGTTAAACCCGGGCCAACAATTAGAGTCGAGTTGCCAGTAGTTTGTGTCGCCGTAGATTTAGTCCACTCCAGACTATTGTTGATGGTCAAACAGTCAAACACTCTTCGTGCTCCGGCTGGATGGATAAAGAATGGAATCGTAAACTTCTTTTCTCGATGCAGAACCCATAAAATTTTTTATGGTGGATAGTCTCTCGGTTTTTATCATTAGTCGGTAAGGTTGTTTGGAAAGTGGGTCCGGATTTAAGTTCTTAAATTAGTCTCCATTCGAATAGAAACCATGTCAATTTTGCTTACTTTCGAAGATTAACATTTAAGTCCTATAGAAAAAAATCTACATTGTAGAAACTTTAATTAGGATAAATTGTGCCGTGAATAGGTGAAAAAAGGTAAAAAATAAAGTAACAAGATACGAGGTATAAATGCACTTCGAAAGTATATGAAGCTGTATAAGTTTAAGTAATAAAAAAAAATAGGCCTATAGTATAATAATAGTAAGCCTATATAGTAATAATATAAAATAGCCTATACTTGTATTTAAATAGTAAAAATAGAGCCTGTATAGTATATTACTAGCTTAGAGTCGTAGGAACCTATCCTACATTATCTATGATTAAAGACTGGTTCCAATGATTTACAAGAAAGTAATTAATTATTACCGAAATAATACAATATTCTATTAATTTAAACTATATTTATACTGAATTTAATACCATTAAATTAACACGATAGTTACACTGTATACAATTAAAAATTAGGAATTTAAAGGGCTTTATAAGAAGCAGTAGATTTATAAGTTTTTTTTTTTAACGTATGCCAAAGTTTAGAAATAATAAAGGCCAAACATTCATACGTCAAACTAGCATAAAAGAGGTGGCATAGTCCAGAAAAAGTAAGAATTTGTAAGCACTCGATTACTAAAGCGCTAAGAGTTCTCGCGACGCGTATCGAGTGTTGTACGAAGCGTCGAGAGCTATCGAAATAATAAACCAGTCAGCGGCACAGCGAGAGTAGAACCGCTGTCACCCGATCACATTTACCGGCGTCAAGTCGAATACATTAAACGAGTCGACAAACGATCTATAAATTTTCTCTTCTACAGAAGCGAAAGCTTGGGTTAAAGTCGGGACAGCTGCCGAGTACGACACGCTACAAGTGGATTTGGACACGTGTGAGCTACGTCAGTTCGAGGAGTGTCGAGCAGTCTATAATCACGGATTAAAGTGCGACTCAATAGGTCACGACACAATAGATGCTTCGGTTATCGAGAAATCCGATTTGTTCCCGTTGAAAAGTGCTCGGAAACTATCCGGACCCGTCATCGTTCCGATTGTTGGCCCGACAGAATAATCTCTTTAAGTACGCTTCATCGCCGCTGCTTTTCACTTAATCCTCCCCTCGCTGCGGTTTTGCAATTACGTTTTCTAAGGTGTAAAAGTATTCGGCCTATCGTAATTACTAACCATTAGGACCCATTTTTGTTAACAGGAAACCCATTTAGCAACTAATTACCCACCGATCTTCGAGATTCTTAGATAAGTTTACATATTTATAAGTAAGTAAAAATGGTTTAGAATAGGAACCATTAAGAGTTTTTACTATGGAAACGGCCTCCATCCACGACGATTAACGTAGCGCTAGTAATCCCGCTATTATTTTTACTTTCGCGTGTTACCTCCGAGAGTTTGCTAAGATATTTAGGCTGGAAAAAAAATCATCTGGAGGTGAATTAATTAATAGATAAGCTTGGAAATCCCTTCAATGAAACAAATGTAGTACTGATGGATACGATCGAGGGTGGTAAGTTTGTATGTAGATCTTGGTTCTTCCCCCTCGATGGAGGCAGAGTAGTGCGCATAGAAGATCAATCACCCCCATACTGACCATTACTTGCCTGCGGATGGAGCGGTCGCACCGGGTTGTCCGCATATTGCATTAGCTGGGTTGTGCCTCCCGCCAGGCACGGCGGGAGTGCCTCCCAGCCTACCTGCTTGTACGTAGACTTCTGTTGTTCTAAACTTATCACATCCTGCAGTTCACTTTGCTGGTGCTTCTCGTAACAAGCTTGGAAAATAAATTATATCTGGACTTTACCGGTTCTTGATAATCTTATAATTCCTTCCAAGATTATTTTATAAGGAAATTTCATTAAAATCTTATAATAATTATTACTCTCTATCAATATTATAAAATAAAAGAGATTCAAAATTTTCCATCCTCTAGTCAGCTATATAATAACAAAATCAATTCATATATAATATTAATAAATTATATATTAATTAATTTATATTTTAAAAAATTTTATAACGAAACATGTGCAGTTTTATAACCAAACCAGTTTTAAAGGCGTAAACTCTTCAGTTAAGCAAAAGGTTATTGCAGTGAAGCATCCACTTTGCAGCTTATAAACATAATTTGTTCCTCAACAATAAATTAAATCGATTTTATATGTCTAAATATCTCAACTTTTTATTTAAAAAAAGGAGCTAATTTTATACAGAAAATACTAAATTTAGTATCAATTTCGAAATATTTGATTGGCTAGAAAAGGATTTGTTATTATTATTAAAAACCGGTTACGTTCGGCGGTAACCAAATCTAAAAATACAACGAGTTCGACCAACTTTATTTAATGCGCCGCATAAATATAAACGAAGTTACGAGTCGAATGATTATATAGTATTTTAAAAAATAATATTTTAAAATTAAACGTTGACAGGTGTTTAGATAAACGATCCGAGTTTAAGTGCACTTTACCCTTTCTCGGGATAAAGTGGCGGGTCGAACGTCTAGCAAGACATTCGAGTCACGCTTCTCTTTTCTTTTTATCTCCCAGACCAACGTTGAGTTAGTGACAGATTTACGTCATTTCGCAGCGGAGTCGTGTGCACATCTAAGCGCTTAGCGACAAGTGATTTCTGTAATTGGAATCCATTTACTCGACTTTCCTCACCCCGAACGTGTCGTTTCTCTAACTCCACCCTCGCGTGATAACCGTTAGTGGAGGCCGTAACGCTACCTCTCGTTCTGCCAGTATCGCCATTACTTTTAATGAATGCTCTGTTTAAGCTTTCTATAATACAAGATACGCGCCAATTCATTAACATTCGAATGTTTTATTGTATGTATTAACAGTTAACGTACCCCCCGTTACCGATTTATTATTGTCTGTTCGCTTGTACTTTGCGTTAAAAATCATGCCACTTAAGCAAAAATCTTTATTAATAAAATAATTAAGATGTTTACGTAATGGTTAAAGTCCTTAAAAGAAAATTTTACCGTTATACACCCTATTATATCACTTTTATTTAACTATTAACTTAATTTTAATTGAGGTTAAAGCGAATTTAATTATTATATAATGCCAAATTGATGCGTTATAAAAATATCTTAGTAAGGGAAAAAATTCCCCAAATATTTGTAAATTTTTCCTCCAAGAGGGAAATATCGTTAATTAATCAATCCGAAAGGGATTTTTTATGCAATAGCTCCATCTATTATATAATGTTTAATTTTAATGATTTTTTTGTATGTAAAACCGTTTATTTCGTTAATTTGTATTTTGTTTGAAAAATAATATTTTAAAAATAGTAATAAAAATTAATTTAAAATGTTTAAAAGAAAAAATAATATTTCATTAAGTAGTTTAGGGAAATATCAGTAAATATACTGAAATTTTACGTTTACGTACGGGGTTAAATAATTTACACGATTAATCTCTACTAGTTGTGGATATTAATTTTAAACTTATTTTGAGCATATTTATTCCTAATTTTTAACAGATAATATTTCCCATTAAGTCGTGATTTTATTTTTAAATAATGAGAAATAAAAATTCAACGTTTTTTTTAAGCAGGTCGATCAGATCGCATCCGTCGAAATATTGTGTCTCCATCTAGTAGAAGTTGATTTAACTATTTTAGAAAAAAAACATTATATTCGTTTCAAGCAAATTTTTTACTTATTTAAGGCATTAATAATTTAATTCTTCAATTATATTTATACAAGAATAAAATTTTGAATATTAGACATTAATCCGTTAAATCTATTGCTAGATAATAATTTCGTTGGATCTACTGATATTTCCCTAGATTACATATATTGTACGAAAAATCACCACAAATAATTATTCTTTCAAACATAAAAATTAACCTTTTTATATATTTTATAATTATTCATTTATTTTTATGTGTAAATTATGTGTGTAATAAATAAATAAATAAAATAAAATATATTCTTTCCCTCGCGAATATTCAATAGGGGGCACTTCGATCAGGATTTTCTACTTCCGCCATGGCGTCTAGTAGAGGTATGATAAAATTCGGTTCCCGTCTGAAAGAATTAAGGATCCATTTGTGTCAGAAATCGAACGAAAGTCAAGGTGTAAGGTAAGTGTCGTATTTAAGAAATACTTATCGTAACATAATTGCCTTTAATTAGTAATAAACAATGGTTTAAGGTAATCTAACTCTAGTTTTGTTGTTGTTGCTTACATTTAAAATTGAATAAATGATTGATTTGCAGAAATTTCATCGAGAAATATTACGTTCCCTTAAAACAGAGTAACCCGCAGTTTCCTATTCTGATTAGAGAATGTAGCGGTGTCCAACCTAAAGTTTATGCTAGATATGGTGAGTATTATGCTTTAACAATTCATATAATGTCTTGAAATAAGGTTCTCATTACATACTTAAATCAAAATTTAAAACATTGCACACAATATGATCTTAAATGTGCATTAAGATTGTCGTTAATGGAACGAGGCAACGCAACACATAAGCAATCTGCTAAGGGGTGCCTACTGGAAGAACTTTCTATGCAAAAGTGTCCCTATTTAGAGGTTACAAATGCAAAGAAAACTCAGAAAATTGCAGCTTGACTGTCAATGAGGTACTGGTGGTCTGGGATTTTATCCGTTTGGCCGTACTAGTGCTGCAAAATATAGTGTTGAGCAGTGTTGTAACGCTTCTTATGCGTATCGCTAAAACGGCAACAAACTCTATATTGATAAAAAAACGTAGGGGTGCCACTATTAGAAAAAGGTTGAGAACACTAATGTAATCAATTATTTAGTGTTTTGCACACAAAGTTGAAATTAAAAATCAGTTATTTAAATTTATGACATATTTCACATTCTTACAATGTTCGAAATGGACTTCGTGTTTCTAAGATTTCTTGCTTTATTTTCTATTCTAAATCTGATAATTATCATTGATATTGTTTCATTACATTGCTTTCTTAGTGAATGAGCCAAAAGTGTTATAATGTTTGCATTATTTATTTTTTTAATAGGCTAATTAATCTTTATTATTTGAAATTCAAATTTGAATGTTTAAAATCAGCTAATTATTATTATTATTATTTAGAAAATCATGTAGTTAGCAAGAAAAAGATTAATCAAAATTACATATAGGATTTCTTACATCATTATCTATCACATGTTTTTTATGGTTCAATTATCTGATGCAGACAATAAATATTAGATAATACACGCACACAATCTTAAAGAGATTCTTCGATACTTGAATAAAGACGATAAATATTTTTATTTGCGTACATTCACATTTAATTTACATTTACAAAAAGAATTTGTGCAATGATATTAATTTTTTAGTTAGTTTGTATTAAAAATTACTGTGTTAGCCCACAGTAAGTTTTGTATCTAACAATTTCAATGAGGGGAAAAAAATCATATGATTATAGCAAAATCATCATCATATATCAAAATTAAAACCAATTTATTCTGTATTTATTTGAATATTTAATAAAAGTAAATGATTTGCTTTCATTTAAAAAAATTGATATTTTGATAATAGTTCATATATATTTATTGTCAGTCTGATAAAACTGATATAAAAATAGTACATAAACTGAAAAGAACATTATCCTTTTACTTCGTAAGAAGATATTGTGAAATTCGATTTAAGTAACTTTTGGATTTTGACCATTTTCAATTGTTTGTTAACATTACATTACTGAAGTTTTTGATTAATATAATCTTAATATTTATGTTGTCATCAAATTATCTATTTTTACAAATTTTAAAAGTAATTATTATACATGTTGTTGATTTCCTGTGAGCTTACCATATTTTACATCAAACCCCATTTCAACAGAATATTTAGGAAAAAGTATTTTTAGTATACAGTATTTAATTCTTTTGGCACTTGCCCCCAAACCTTTTTTATTGTATTCTAGTGTATCTGTAAAATATTTAACACAAATACATGCAAAAACTGCTTAGCTATATCAAAAAAATAATAATAATAACTCATGAGTTATGCTAAAAATTCTTATACTATACCTGTTAGAGGTTATCTGTAGCTACTGAAGGCTGTTTATGAAATTCATTAGCCTAGGGAGATTACAACCTCACATATAAGATGCAGGATAATTTTTGAGTCTTGTTTTGTGAAAAAACTTTCATCTCACATGCCATAAAATATGGTATATGTCAGGGTCGCCAATCTTTCTGACCTCGTGGACCACTAAACTCGCGATTTTAATCCCGTGGACCACTGAATTTCAAAATATCTTTTATTGTCTTAATGTTGTGTATGTAATATATAAATACTGTATTTACTTGCATATAAGACGGCCTCACGTATAGGATGAGGTGTGACTTTAAAGATCAAAATAAAGAAAATTAGATTTATTAATACAATTCTATTGATGAATTTTTTAATGGAAGCTGTATTATGTGTTAAATAGGTAAATGTCTGTTCAAACCGAACAAATTTTCGGTAGACTTTCTCACAGCTCTACAGGTTATAAAACTCCTTTATTGTTTACATATGCATTTCAGGCAAGTTTGATTTCTTAGCCCCTCTTCAGTGCTACAAAACAAAATTCATATTGAATTTACACAAAAACAACTCGAGTAGAAAATGTTTACAAGACATAAAAAGACATTTTATAATACCATAAGATACTCCACATGTTTCATCATCCTTTTCACAGTACTTGTACTATAAATTTGTAATGTTTTCTAATTTATAATGTCTTTGACAATTTCCATTTTTTCTCTTTTAATATAATTTCTATTTATTCTATTTATCCTATTTAATACAATTCTAGTTTTGTTTGGTTCGATGTCATGACTTGGTGAATTTATTGACACTTGGCAAATAATATCATCATCAACTTTTAATCCATTTCTATTAAAATAGAATGTTTATACAGTCGCAGGTGAGGCTGTGTGTAGCACTCTGGGAGTGAGATGTTGCACGTTGCGAGGCATGCAGGGGAGGCTGCCAAGTTGGAAGGGAAGGGGAGTGGGAAGACATAATGCAGAAGGTGCCTGACAGATGTCCACAAGATTCAATCTATCTATGTAACAGACTGAAGAGGGGCGAAAGCCAGAAACATGTATCTATATGGATTAAAAGTTGATGATGATATTATTTGCCAAGAGTCAATAAATTCACCAAGTCGTGACATTGAACCAAACGAAACAAGAAGACGACACAGTTTTGACAAATAATACAATTCTAATTTTATTTCGTTCAATCACAAGTAAAATATCAAGTGCACATAAATGCACACATTGTCCCGCAAAAATTACTGGCATTTTAAACTTTAAGGAAAAATCATGTAAAATTGACAACATAATTTGTTCATGTAAAGCTGGACAATCGGGAACCTTTTTTGCCAGTTCTTAACAGTCGAATCCACTCTTCGTCAATTACACTTATGAGTTTTTCCGAATTTTGTTTTCACGTGGAAACGAATTAAAATGTATATCATGCTCCTGTGTGATTTTGGAATCTTGTGAGGGGCTAGCCAGGGATATGGAGTAGTTAAGACTCTTGTACCACTTATTCGGCAGCTACTCGTTTGAATAGCCCTCGGATTGTCTAAAAGAATGGCTTTCTTACAAAGAAATCGATTATGGAGAGACTTACATCTTAAAGTAAAACAAAAGCGGAATTAGATGATCGCGTAATCACCCTTTTCCTTATCAGGATTCCCGACACCAGTAATCAGTTTTATTAAATGTGGATTAACACGCGTTATCACTAACTTGTGCGTATGAGGAACACAAGTATCTTGGATAGGCAGAAGTGTGAATATCTAACATTAACCAGGCCATATTTATAAAATAAACTAAAACATTTAATAAACCAAAATATTAAGAGTATACAAATGAATGGATAACAAATTGTACTTAAACCTAAGTCACTAATACTAAATTAAACCTAGTGTGTGAGAGAGTTTACAATCGGGCAACACGTTACTATATTACCTTCCCAGTTCTTTCAATATTTCAATGTATGAGGATCTTCTTACTTATGGACATTCTTCTTCTTTTATTTTCTATGGCAATTTCTTGTATGGATAACTCTTCTTATGACGATCTCGTCTTATAATGAACTCTCTACATTGTATGGAGAACACTTCGAATGGCGGACTCGTATGACAGACTCTTTGAATGATGTTCTCGCCTATATCGTATGGCTAATTCTTTCAATGACTTTCCTGGAGTCATATGGCAATACCTCTTTTGACAAACTGCCCTGAATGATGGGAAAATGTCTCTTTATATTGGCCTTCTCTGATGGCCAAGTAGCGTGTGCAAAGGCCGCATTTTTGACTCATCTCATGAGTTGGCCGTAGGAACGTAAATCAACTTCCTTTCTAAAAATGAAAGTTTCTAACCTCTGTTTTTCTGACTAATTTTGTCAAACTTTAAAATTATTTTCTTGCTAATTTTTCTTTAAAATTGCCTTTCCCCTTCCAGATCTCACAATTTCAATCTGGAATTCAATTCAAAAGCTTTGCTTTTCCTATTGCTATTCATCTTTACTCCTGACAATGTACAATAATGATTCAAATGACCCAGATAAAATATTCATGTTTTTAAATACAAGAGGGTAAGCATCTGGTAAAAAATGCAAATACGTGGTTCACAAAAATTATTTGTAAAAACGCAAAGAATCTTTCGCTTGTGAGTATAGGATGACCTAGGAATTTGAAACTGTGATAAATGAATAAAAACTTTGTCTTATATGCAAACTAGTAGCCCGGGACGCCCCCTAGTGGGCGTTATTTACAAATTTCCATGAGGCACGGTTCCTTTGACTTTTTTGTTCGTATCAATATGCTGTACAGTTCCGTTAAAGTCCCAATGGTAAGATTTACCCTCCGAATGAAGAGGTGGCAAACCCCCAAACCGTACACCCTGTATTAACCCTGTATAAAGTCAAAGGAGCCATACCCCTACTCGCGACCCTTCGAGAGATATAAGCCCCTGAAATAATAAATTCCTATTACAAATATACTGAATTATTTATATTGTTATATTGACCAAATAATAATTTATTGGCAAAATGAATAATAAAAATTTATATCTGTTAATTTAAATAAGAATTAAAATTGTTAATTTGAATGTTTGAAATATGACATACGATAGGGGCGCCTCTAGTGTCCGTTTTCAAACGGTTACGGGACAGACGGACAGTTGAATGGGTTATATATATAGATAAATATGGTATATCATTTCTTAAGAGAGTAATGTCTATTAACTGTATTTTATTTAATTTTAGCTTTGTCTGCATATACTTTTGGTAACAAATTTTATAGACTTAATACCAAAAGTTAACTGAGTTTTATTAAACATTATAAGTTTGTTAATTGATGCTTTCAAATATAATATTAATTAACTGAAAAACATATTGTAATTTATATGGAATTAAACAGAGAAAGTAAGTTTATAAAATTTTTTTTAAATGTAAAGATTTTGAGATGAATAAAGATTATATCTTAATGAAGAGTATTTTAAGTTAATATCTCATTACATGTAATCAAAAGTTGAATATATATCAGTTTTTTATAATTTTTTTTTTTGCATTCATGTCATTCTTTAAAAGAAATCTCATTCACTACATTATTTTAATTAAGAATCATAAGTTTATAGTCACCTTAAATTCTGTCAATGATGTTCAATGAGTTGCTTTGTTATCATGTAAAAATTAATTAAAAAGAATTTTTTCGTTACAGATTTTGGAAAGGAAGACAGTGTGCCTCTATCAAATATGAAAGATGAAGAAGTCTTAAAAACAATACAAAATTTAGCCTCAAAATAATTGAATACATATGTGAATTTAGTGTACAGTATTTTGCATTAGGTAAATTAAAAGTGTTAGACAATATTGTTATATTGAAAATAAATACTAAAAATTAATGACTAATTGTATTTAATATATTCAATCAGAAATTGTAAACAAGGCAAAAATAATTTTTTTTTAAAATTAATTACATTCTTATTTTGTAGGAGTTATAACAGAATAACAAAATCTATGATCATCATTAATTTTCTGTTATACAGTAATTATTTGTATCTGTATAATATATTTCCATAGATTCCTCAAGAAATGATGATTAAAAATTTACAGTATTTAAATGAGTTTTGCAACTGATCTAAATTGAATAATATGCTATTACTTTCTAGACTAACAGATGAGTTAAAATAAAATAGGTTACTGGTTTTTCTCGTAATATATGAATTTTTATTTGGCTAGTAATTAATGACATCTTAAACAGTCAAATATTCAATCAAATTATCTAATTATTATAAGCTAAATTAGAAAAAAGAAAATTTACAAAAATTTTGATTTAATACATTGTAAATTTAAATCATTGGTTAGAAGTTTAAATTTTCTATACTACTTGTAATAATGATGGTGATTACTAAATATAATAATGTCTTTTTAAAAAGATCATCTTATTAAATATGGTAACTCAGTATAAAAATTTAATCTAAATGTTAAAAGTTTCAATTCAGTTCAATTTGAATAATTTAACAAAGTAGCATAAATATATATATCAAAATGCAAGTTGCATATAAAATCAAATCCAAATTCATTTTTTTAAAATTTGATTTATATCAATAAATATTTTCTTTAGAAAGTATCAGTTCAAACTAGAACTATCCATAATTTTTTTCTCTAAATTATCAACTTGAGTAGAGAAAAAAATGTAATCTTAAATCTCAGATATTTGTAAATACAATGCATGTTCAATATAAAACCAGAAAAGTGCCATTAAAAGTCAGGAGGATAGCAATACCATAGTAATTTTGACACATGACTTTCAAATCAGAAGACAACACACCAATAAAATGGCAGCAATTTAATAGTTTAATATATGTTTATAATAAGACACAAAATTGTACCAGAAGAAATTCTATATATTTCAAAATTAAGAAGAAAAAACCACCTTTTATTGTTAAAGAGAATATAAATTACATTTGTAACAATCTAAGAATCTGATGTTGCATGAAAATGAACATGTTCTTTTAACTTAGGAAATAAGGAGAAAGCTTCTTTACATATGTGGCACCTAAATACAAAAAAATACATAAATTACTCTTATTTATATAATATTTTTATGATTCAAAATTTGTTTTTGTATGCTTTTTTGTATAATTATATTTTTTCTCCTTTCTGTTAATAAATTGAAAAAAATTATCCTGTAAAAATCTATCTTATAAAAGGCAGCAAACATTTTAGATTTTAGAAACATTTTACTCTGGAATTTTCATGTTTTTAAAGCTGTATCAATACACTGACTCCATTTTGAAGCTGTTTCAAGCAAGAAAATATCTGATCATCTCAAAATTATGGAATAAGAGATTCAGTAAACTTGATGAAAATATGAAAAGTAACAAACACAGTGGTGGTAGCATGTTCAGACTGGATTTAAATTCACAAGCAAATCAGATTTGTGAATTGATGTTTTCCTTTCAGATGTTTTTTCAGACTGGGAAGAAATGTAATCCAAGAGAGGTAAGTCAGTGGAACTGGGTGGATGTTGGATCTATTCAAACTTGATTCACTCTAGTCATTGTTTTCTGGTCAGTTTATGCTGGAGCATTGTCTTGCAAGAAAATGATGTCTTTGGAGCACTTTTCACACTGGTTTTCTTCAATTTCTCTTTCAGCTGCACCAGTAATGATGATATGTATTGATAGGCCTGGCCTTTGGTGTGGTAATTGGTAAAAATAATACCTGGACTTCCCAGAAAATCAATGCCCGAATCTTTTCAGCAGATCATTACATAGAAAATATTTTTGGTCATGGGGGATGCTCATGCCTCCACTCCATGGATTGTTATTTTGTTTCTGGACTGTACTTTCATCCATATTACTAATTAGTCCTCAAAATCCTCAGCATCCTACTCAAAAAAAGCCAAAATGGTTTCTGATGTTTCCATTTACTCATGTTTCTGATCAGTGGGTAAGGGATTTTGGAGCCAATTTCACAGACTACTTCTGTGACAACATTCATCATGAATTTAATGATAGTTCAGAATTCTGTTTAGTCAAGTCAGATATTAGAGAGGTTGAGGCGCACGTTTTAAACGTGTAAACGTGTACGTGTGACGTTCGGCGCCGCTTTCCCGTAAGCCTAAAAGTTTGACGATGGTGTTTGGAATGTTGAGCGTGATTCCACCGACTATCCAAACACCATTGTCAAACTTTTAGGCTTACGGGAAAGCGGCGCCGAACGTCACACGTACACGTTTAAAACGTGCGCCTCAACCTCTCTATTGCTTTTTGTGATTTTGTCTTCTCAACTTTTCCCATGCATAGATTTTATTCTGTTGTTCACATCATCTTTTCCTCAAAATATTAAGTACATCAGGCCAACAAATTATCAGTTTTCAATTGGATAAATACTTACTTTAAAAATTATTATTATATCTATTTATAGAATTGTTATTTAAGCATAAAATAATAGCATTTAAACAAAAATGTAGGGTTCTTACATAACATTAAAAACTGAACTAGCTAAATATTTAATATACTTACTTCAATGATGATTTCAATAATTCTTTAGCCTGCAATGTACTCATTAAATTCAATTTTCCATTTTTTTCAAGTTGCCCAATTATATCTGAAATGTAATAGTTCATATTTTTTTATATTAAATATATTTATTTTCAATTATTATGAATGATGGAATCATCATCATAAAACTTATCATCTATGTTTAATTATATGAAATAACCAAAAATAAACATACTTTCAGAGTTTAGGAAAAATTTTGTAGTAAATGAATTCCAGTGTTTCTTGTGTTTCATGAATGGAGAATCAAAATCTTTGCTTATAATATGAAGATGTAACTGGCTAAATAATTTAAAAACAAACCAATTTAGTTAAAACATTGTAATTAATTCTTTCAAACTGCAAAATAGTAGCTTGTTATATTATATTATTACTTATTGAGGCACTATGGTTGTTGGCCTTTTACAAGTATCAATTAATAACAGAAATAATAATAAAAAAAAAGAACACAAACAAAAAATTATCATCACATCAAAGACAAACCATTATGTTTAGTTGCAATTATTCCTTTTTTTTTTTTTAATTTTTTGTCCCTTCTCCTTTATATTTAGTCTTTGAATTATAGTATCTGTGATATTAAATTCAATTGTGTTTTTTTTCCAATTTACAAATATCACTCACTAGTTTTGAAAAATCATTTATAGCTTAATACTTTTTTCATTCTTTAATTTTCTTGTAATATATATAGTAATATTCAATTCACAGAATTTATATTTTGTAATAAAATTCATTCGGATTCTATTCAGAAGTGAATTTTATTTTATTTTAACATTTATTATTTAGAAAATTATAAAATATTATTATAAACAAACATATTTGTAAATATAATATAATAAAGATATATACTCACTACATACTTGGAGCTGCATGATATCCAAATTTGAATTTTCTACCAGGTGCAATTCTGTAAATATTTTAATAATTTGGAAATTAAGAAAAATTAAATCCATATATATTATTTCATTTAAAAGATAAATACAGTATACTAATTCATTTTCATCTAAATACATAACAAATAATTAATTTAAAAGTTTTATAATTATACTATTAATTCTATGTATGTATGTCTCTTTAATCCGAAAATTAAGTTTGGTAGACTATCATTACAGCTTTCAGGTTAGACACTTCTTTTATTGTTTCCACATATGCATTTTGGACTTATATAAATGTTAAGTCCCTCTTCAGTGCAATACTATTTTCTCAATCCATTTATCTCCAATATTCTAAATATCACTTTTAGTAGCTGTTATGATCTATATATGTATGTATTGGAAACAAATGGATCAAGAAAACAGTATTGCACTGAAATGCAATACCACAATTCCAATACAATGCAATACCACAATTTAAATTTAAAGTTAATCAACTGCTAAGATATAATTCAAAATTTTTAACCAAGTTCTACTGTATTTGATTTCAAAAGTCCAATTTTTCCTCATAAGATACACATAAATTTTTCCCATATAAAATATTCCTGTTTAAGATGGCTGAAATCATTATCCATGACCAAAAAAGTTTTAGACATCGTCTCTTATGAAATTTTATAAGAGATGGTGCCTAATGCCTATCTCTAGTACCAAATTATGTAATATTTTATCATTAATAGTAGAGGTAAAGTAGCCCAAAAATGTGGTAATTGTTTGGTTCATTTTAAGATTTTATTACTTTATTTAAAGTGAGATTTATAAAATTACAAACATACTATACCAGTGTTTCTTAACAGGGAGCCGCGGTCCCCTGGGGGTCCATAAGAAGTTTGTCAGGGGGCTGCCAAATTACGCAAAATTTCCTTCAGAATATAATAAAAACAAAATTGATATATAACCAAATATCGTATTGAAAAGTGAAATAAGAAAGATAAAGTTTTTTCGTATTTAGTTTTTTTTTTATTTATTTTTTCCTGCATACAGCTTTCTTAGTACAGAAGAAATAAATGCAAATATGCTACTTACACTGCAGTATTTACTTCTTTTATTCCAAAGTAATTCTAAGAAACTATTAATGCTTGGAATTTTGGATACAAATTTGTGTAGAATATCCTCCTGTTTTCAGCAGCAATGCTAAATTTGCTGCCTTTCGCTAGTACATATTTTCGAATATTTTTTGTTTTTTCTATGAATTTTAATGTTTCTTATTTTATTTTTTGTTAAAAATTAATGAGTTTTTATGTTTATTTGTGTTGTTTGAATGTTATTTAAATAGATAATGAAATAATAAAGTTATGTTTTACATTTATTATATAAAAAATAAAGTAGTAATAAAAAATCAATTTATTATAGATAATTTAACAAATATAAATTATTATTAAAAAACGGGTCACAAAATATTACAAAATATTTGGTGGGCCGCGAGTATAAAAAGGTTAAGAACCACTGTACTATACAGTCGCTCCACGAGTTTTTAAATTATTTACAGTTATTTAATATACTGTATATAAAACTAATATTGTTTTTATAGGGAATAATATACATAAATTGCAACACACAAGGATAGGGATTTGAAATGCTGGAGTTCAGCCACAGAAGATGATATCGGATAGATTGATGTTATATTACACTTTAAGACCAATCACAATATTTAATTATTATTAGTTAAAAATATGATAATTACCTTTCTGCAAATTCTCTTCCTTTTCTATCCATATGCTTTAAAAGGTCTAAGTGATCTTTGGTTACTTCATTTAAATTTTTTATATCTTCTTTTGGTAGGACTAAAAAATGATAATTGGCCTAAAAGAATAAATAATAATCTTATATTGTCTAAATAAAATTATAAAATTTTTCCCAATCAAATAATTACTATAATTCATTTTTGAACATAGAAATATGAAAATAAAGAATACATATTAAATTCATATCAAATTCAAATTAGAAAGCTGGAAACTATAAATACATAATCAATGTGTAAATATATACTTTATACATGTTGAACAGCACTATTATAAAGAAAGAGGTAGCATGATATAATTTAATTGGGAGATGTTTCAAATATGCTTCTATGATTTTATTTTAAAAACAAATATTTTAACATATACTTTAATGTTACATAAATGATTACTTATGAAAGTTTATTTCTACATGGTAAAATGATAAAATGTATTCTTATTAAATATATGATAATTAAATTAATTGAGAGATATAACCTGAAATCTGTGTGTGTGGATTGCTGATGGCTTATCATAGATAAGCAAGCTTCCATAAAAGTGCAATTTGCATTTTTCACTGGATGCTTGACCTCTGGTGTTTAAAAACAAAACTATTCTATCTGGGTCGTTTGATTCATTCTTGTGTATTATCAGCAATAAAGATAAACAGCGATAGAAAAAACAAAGCTTTCTGTTCCATTCCAAATTGCAATTTCAAAGCCTTACGGGAGCCTGATATAAGTTTTCGTCTATTCCCACACGAAAAATAGATGATTATTCAGAAGTTGGTCGGTTATATTTATGAGCTTCTCCGAATTCTGAAAGAATGGATTAGACTGTTAAGAAGTGGCAGTTTCCCGATTAGTTGTCCAGCTTTACATGAACAAGTTATGTTGTCAATTTTAAAACATATTTTCATGAAGTTTAAAATGCCAGTAATTTTGTGTGGGACACAGGGTCGAATTTAAGCATTTCGAAGCCCTAAGCTGAACTCTGTAAGGCCCCTTACCAACCCCTCACAATTTTAGAAGTCAATCATAAAAGGAAAATAATTAAATCAGACTATGACTCTGATTTAATATGGATATTGGAAGAAAAAGATGTGAGGTTTCACTAGTCTTCTGTTTTATAATTGAATTTAATTAAATCTTTATACCCATTCCATTAAACATTTTTTTAAAATTGGTTTTATCAATTATTTTTAAAAAGATCTTACGTAAATTCTTAGAAAAAAAATTAATGAAATACTACAAAAATAAAAAGTAAAGTATATTTTGTTGTTTTGTAAAAAAATGTTTATTACAAAATTTGACTTCAATTTTCTTTTTTGTACAAATGTTTGAGACCCTATGCAACAACTTACATAGCTTTTTACTTGTAAATCTGGCCTTGATGGGACAATGTCAACACATGTTTTTTAACACAAAGGGCACAAATATGTATAGAATGATCTTGCTCATTTGTTTTGATACCACATAATGACGTGTCCCGCTAGCAATAATTATTCTCCTATAAAATTTCTCGATAAACAGTTACAAGCAGCATATATCATTATATCGAACAGTAATATATAAGCGACCCAGATAAAGTAGCCATTTTATAAAAATGCAGCACCCTCTATAGTTCATGAAAAACGCGAATAGCCCAAGATCACTAGTAACACATTATTATGCAAGAAGCTACCATATTGGTATGGCAACTCTTTGCATGTCATACACCAGCAATATACATGGCAATGCTCAATAAAAAAGAAAAGGGTTCAATATTATGCCATGTTTAGTGAGAACTGGAGTTTGAACTAGTGGGAAGCTTGTTTAAATTGGCAACAGTGCTGTTAATACCCAAGGGCCCTAATGTCAGATTACTAGGCACTCAAACTAGCAAACAACTGGAATTGCCAAGATTATATTGCATAATTTGTTTTTTCATTAGTGTGTCATTGTTAATAATAACATAAATCCACTACTGTTTTTTTTTTTGTTGATTGTGATTGATAATTAACTAAATGTCTTCTATAATTTTTTTTGCTATCAAAGAAAGCCAAAGAAAAAATATAAATAAGATTTTTTCAAAGCTTTTTTTAAGTAGAAAAATAATGTTTGAGATGTACATGTGAACACATAAGAAAAATTGATGGCGCTCCTTGGGTCACAAGCAGGGCTGTGGAGTCGGAGTTGGAAAAAAATGCGTTGACTCCAACTCCCTCATTAAATTTACTTTAGTTTTTTTTTATTTAAATGAAAGAAAATTTATTATATATTTATTAATTTTTTAAAAAATCTTTTTGTATTTTGTTATAATTCATTTATTTTAAATACAAAATGCATTAATTTAATTTATTAAATATGTAGTATTCTTTGTAGTATTTGTGTTTAGTAGTTAAATTATTTTGACCCAATTGAATTTGAATATTTTTGAATCATTCCTTTATTATCCCTGCTCTAAATAATTACTCTGTTTTTCTGAATGAGCCAGACTAATTGATCAGAGTACATATTTTTCTTTTCTGAACAAGGAGCTGAAGTAGCTAGCTATATCACACACTTTTTAGTTGGACTAACTCTTCTGGAGGGGTGAAATTGAAGTGCAAATGCTGTCGAATATATGTAGATGTAGAATTTTATCGCCCCTTTCTTCTCTTATTAAATATTTGTTAAAAATTAATTTTTTTATACGAATAAATATTAATGTAAGTTAAATATTAAAAATACTAACCATAAAAGTACTTGGGTAAATGCCCCAGGCTCCTTTCACAGTTCAGAGTAGGGTGCTACCCATAAAATGACTTGGTATTTAATTTTTCTGGAGATGAGAGTTGGAGTCGGAGTCGGAGTCAGCCTACTAAAATTATCACGAGTCGGAGTCAAGTGTTTTTTTACTGACTCTGCAGCCCTGGTGATAAGCTACACTTGGGAATTGTCGTTCTACACTATTGCATTAATATAACAAGTGCAAAATGATAAAAACTTCAAATAAAGTGCAATAAAATAAAGTAAATCGTTAATTAAGATTATCATTTCTGTACATTTTGCACTCAGGCCATTGAGAAGGGGAGCTGCAAATTTTCCCTCAAGGTCCAGAGAAAATTTAGGGGCCCACAGTGATTCCTACCCCTGTAAAATTAAAATTATTTTTACTAACACAATAAATTCTTTAAAATTGCATTTTATTAATAAAGAAACTTTCTAAGAGGGCAGTTTTTTCCAAGCTCCAATGGTCCATAAAACAAAGACAAGTGTAAATAACAAAATGAATTATTACCAAAAGTTAGGTATAAACATGGCTACTTTTTAACATAATCACTGTGAAGATTGAGGAATTTCTCATATCTGTGGTCAAGCTTTTCAATCCCCCTTGTCATAGAATGTTGCCACCAATGACTTGAGATGGGCCCTAATGTTGTTTTGAAAATTGTTATTAGTCTCAAACCTCAGCTCTGCTAGCCACGTTTTCAGTTCAGGAAAGAAGTGGAAGTCTTCACACATTAAAAAGTTTTAAGCTGGGTGGAAGTCTTCACCACCTTTAAACACCCAACGTATAGCCCCAATTTAGCACAGAGCAACTTCCACCTCTTTCCTGAACAGGAAAAGTGGCTAGGAGGACAGAGGTTTGAGACTAATGACAATCTTCAAAACAACATTAGGGCCCATCTCAAGTCATTGGCAGCAACATTCTATGACAAGGGGATGGGAAAGCTCAACCACAGATATGACAAATTCCTCAATCTTCACGGTGATTATGTTAAAAAGTAACCATGTTTGTACCTAACTTTTGGTAATAAATTCATTTTGTTATTTACACTTGTCTTTTTTCTTTTATGGACCATCAGAGCTTGAAAAAAAACAGCCTATATACATTAGATTTGTTCAAAAAACAAAAGGCTAATGAGGCCCATTCAGAACAATTACACCTCCGAACGAAATCAACTACCAGGACCTCATCAGAGCCAGAAACCACATCCAAAAGAACAAAAAAGTCAAAGGAGCCACACCTCTACATGCGACCCTTGGTGAGATCCGGCCCACTTCCAAGTCACACGCAATCGAAAGTCGCATCACTCTACTAAAACTAACACTTAACTATTTAGTCCGCTCGACCGTTGGTAGGGTACTCAATGTTGTATAGTTTTAGGAAGATGCTGGTTGCAGAGGCGCGAGCAACAGCAAGCACCGAAGCAACGTGCAGAACGTCAGTCAAGACTCGCCATCGCTCAGCTGGACCGACACAGAACAGAGAATAGGCAATATACTGGTTCACGGTAAGAACCGACCTTTACTGAGACGAACATCTGGCAAAGGGTCGCACTTACGGGTACGTTTCCATTGGTTGTTTTGTTCATACAGAGGTCCAGAATTCTGGAAGGGTGGTAAATCCCTCATTCTGAGTTCACATCTTACCCTTTTTTTTGGCCATGATATCAACTTTCTTCAGTTTGGGAGCTCTGATATAAACTAAATTATTGAATTAAAATTCTTAACATTTAAAACTGTATTTTATTACATTTAATTACAAGAACTTCAACAAATCTGCTTACTTTGGGATAATTGTCTTTAATTATGACAATTCTATCATCAGATTCGATAATTTTGTCGGGATCTTTCATTTCGTGTTTCAGTGCTAAAAACCACGGATAAGGCTGCTTCTTTGTATTTTTACTCATTTTTATCGGTTTAAATCTAAAATTATATTCTCAATAAAAGCACTTTTATAAATTTTCAAGCAACAGAAAACAGACGACAATACACTTTGCTAACTAACGCCACCTGGAAAAAATTATAACTTTATTATCCGCGAAAAAATATAAAATATTTTTATTTTATAATTTCGGTAAAATATTATTATTATTATTATTACTATTACGATTCGCAAAGTTTTTTTTCCGCGTAATAAATCAAGTATATGGTACTGTACATTATTCAAAATCGAAGGTGGATAACGTAAGAAATCCGACATGGTTTATTACGTCTTCGGGTAATAAATGACAAAAACTAAAGAAAATGTCTGTCGGAAGATATAGGTTATACCGTGTGTATTTGAATGGAAATCGATAGGGAGACGAGATGCCCGATTGATTTTTCACTAAAAAAAATCTTTCGTGATTATCATTTGTTTATTAAAAATGGAATATAAGTATCGAAGCTAGTACACGGGGTTCTATAATTAAGGTTCACGTATTCTAATTAGTTTGCAGAAAAAACTTCTTACGGAATTGCAGGAAAATTTCGGTACGTCTTAAGGAGGCCATGGAAAGGAAATTCACGAAAACCCCCACCAGTGGGCGAGTGGTCTCCGTTGCCGCTCATCGTAGTGGTGACCAGACCCTAAAGACTGGGAGGTTCGTCGTGGGTTCGCGCCACGGTCGGACAGGCTGGCTGCTTGGAGTTTTCCGGGTTTTCTCCTTGCCTATAACGACTGAATAGGAGGCCAGTTCCCCATAAAAGTCCTCCCGGAAGGCATTTATTTCCCGCGCGTACGTATGGCTGTTCGATACAGCCGGCTAATCGGTCGCCTAGCGATCATACACATACACAAGTCTACTCGGAGAAAGAGCCTACATTGAGCTAAAATCTCCATATAAACACCATCGAAGAAGAAGAGTGATAGATAGAAATTCACGAAAAAATTAATTAGTTCCAAAATTGCCCTACTAGTGATTTTAGAACTAATTCATTTTGCCGTGGAACTAACTAATATGGCGTATAAGCATCTATTTTGCAAATTTTATGTAAAATGTCATCCCTCGTGAACTCGACATATTCAGACAGACCGCTCCTCAAATATTTCTGGGGTTTTCGACCTGATGATGAAATTTCTGTATTTGTGAAGTTGGATCTGCACCCATATGCTTGAGAAATCTTCTGAATTCTTTGCATTTGCCTGTTCAAAAAATAAAATAATTCTTAAATTTGAAGTGCACTAATAATTCTAAGCTCGTTTATATAAAAATTCAGCCAATTAATTAATTTTTCATTAGGTCTACAGTTTTTTCAAATTGCAGCCCAATAAAATAATATACTTACAGGTAGGCAAATGCGGTTCGGGTATACGGTGATTTCTTTACGTCTCCATTTTTGACAAAGAAAAAATTTTCTTTCTGTCATATCCAATTCCAGTAAAGACACTATTTGGTGAGGAACAGCGGGAATATCTATAATTACCGAATCTGAGTGCATTTTTAAACTGAATTACTGTATAACGTTGAAAAACTCGCTGAAATATATTTAAACGATATTTCTCGACAGTAGTAAAGTAGCTTTTATTTACAACGTTAACAATTATAAGTTATTACTGTTATAGAATAAATACAACGATAAAGATTTATTAATTAAAAATTAGCTTACGTATATGGAAATCGTATGAAGTTAATATATTTTTTTAATTTTGTGAAATTGATTTTTTTCGGATTTTTATTTACGGCTTAATAAAAATGTCTAAGAGAATCCGGTTTTTCATAGGGTAAATAGGGATTGATTAAAATATTTTTCATAAAGTAAAAAGTTGTAAGGATTCCGATTCGAACCCGAGTCCTTACAGCTGAAAGACGGGCCCAGATGGCCGAGCGGTTAAGGTGGCAGTCTTCTGCTCTAAGGACCTGGAATAGAATACCAAAAAGTCGAAAACCCCAGAAATTTTTGAGGAGAGGTCTGTCCGAATATGTCGAGTTCCGTCTATCATCACTCGGCCGCCCCATTGTGGGATTGGCCGAACCCAAAATGGACTTGAAAAAAAGGCTTATCAGATGGAGAGTTGAAAAAAAAAGCTAAATGGCAAAGGGCTGTTGCCATTTATCCATTTAACCGCAAACGCCATCGTTTTCAATGAATAAAATTCTGTTTTTGCTGCTGAATGTTGGTCGCTGTCGCTGAAAATTTGCAAATGGTCCCCCAGAAATTTTTCATGGTTATTGGATTCTGTCTCTCATCATGCAGCCATCTGTATTGTGGATCTGGGGGTCTAGCCAAACTCATAATGGATATGGGAAAAGGTGTTTAGGCTAGAAAGAGTAAACAAAACGGTGATGTGCAAAACTAATTCTTCGGGGAAAGTTTAAATTTCGATACTCGTTATTCGTTTTGGTAATGTGTAATGAGTACCAATGAATACCGAATTAGATGCTTATTGTACTGTAGAGTGCAAAATGGTTTTCCTCATCGTGACGTGACTCACGTCACGTAAGTGATGTCATTTGACCTGTCAATCATTTCTACCTGTGCTCCCATTGGTTTAAAATGGACTGCGCCGTTTTATGATTTATTGGGGGTGTGATAGGAATGATTCAAGAGGGATTATGTTGAGCACTAAGCTTAAAAGTCGTAATCACAGCTTGTTTTAATATAATCACGTTTTTTTTTCTTTTTTATGCTTTTTGTAATAAAAATCTGTCATTATTGCCATTAGAAAATACGATTATATCGTTTATTTATATAATTTTTCTTTTTTCTAACGTTTCTTATGATTATATTACTGTAATTTGTTCCAAAAATGCAAAAAAAAATCTAGTTTCACTTCCGTTTAAATTATTCCAAAAGCGGGTTTCACTGGCTGGCACCGTTGCCAGGTAGTGAAACCCGCTTCTCTCCAATTCCTTTGTAATTGGAGAGAAGTGGGGATGGAAGTCAAGGTCACAATAGTAAAGTTTATTATCTTTACAGAAGGGATTCACACTCATTTTTAACGTAAACAAACCGATAAGTGCATTATTATAGTGTCAATTATCTCAACTTTCAACGATTGACATCTTTGTAACTGTAGAAGGGGTAGAGTTGGGTGTCAAGGTCAAAGTAGTAACTGTTTATTCCTTTCACTTAAAAGATTCATTTCATCCACCCCATCGCTAATACCAACAACGTTCTATTATCCCGATTTCCGACAACTGCTTTGATTCTGTCGTCCGCTCTTTCTTTTTCTCGGTAAGTATTACGTCTTCGGGCCTCTCATTCGTCCAACATTGGGCGCCACTTCCGTTCTTAATACGAAGTTCTCTTCTCTTGTATTATTTTGATATCAAACCTATCACATTAACACGAATGACAGGTCGCTTCACTGCCAGGCTACCGAAACTTCACGTTATTATATAAACATATTTGAGTTGATGTTCCTTTTATTACATTACTTATAATTCAGAGTTTTTTCTTTTTATTTTACGGAGTTTTTCTTTGAACATTATTACAGTTGTTACTACTACTGCTTTTTTAAATATATTTGCATTGTTGGCACATTAATTGTTTTAATAATGTTGTATTTTCTGATTCGCTCTGATAAACTAAACTATATTCATCAATCGTTTTTATAAGATCTATCTAAACTTGTAGCTGCTTTAAGGTCTGGAATTAAAATCATTGCCTTATTTTTGAAATTGATAATAATTCTACAGAAAATTATATCGTTTAGATATTTAGGGAATAAATCACATGCTACTTTTTTAAAAATTTTCTATCGACTTTAATTTTTCACCTGTTAAAAATTTGTAGTCAGACGAAATCCCATATGTTTTCATATCTCCATCTAAGTTGTGCTATTAAAATATCCATCACTTATTTCATTTCTACTGTAAATAAATACTTATCATTATAAATTAAACAAACAAAACGTAATGTGGGTAGCCCCTGAGATAGGACGAAGTCGTACTTCTTTTTGTCGGCAACAGTTTGGTGAAAACTGTCCACTTGTCAGTGGATGGCATGTCTAATTTTACTATCCCGAAGGGTCGGGATTCTTTTTATCAGGTCGAGTAGAGGGAGGTGAGAGGGGTCGACGGTACTCGAGTAAAAAACACCATTTAAACCAGGGGCGTCCAATCCGCGGCCCGCGGGCCGCATTCGGCCCAATAAACGTGTAAACAAAACCGAAAAATGTTTTAATTTTTTTATTATTCATTTATTTCAAGGTCATAAACTCAAAAAAGAAGTTTCACAAAGCCGTAAACCTTTATTCGTATTTTATTTTTGAGTGGAAAGGAAATATTTTCAAATACTTGGAGATATGTGAATGAGAAAGAATTACTAAATAAAGCTGCAGTTGTGACTCAAAGGATTAGAGACCAAAATTTGGGGAAAGGAGGAAAGACGAGAAAAGCCAAAAGATAAAAAGTAGTGAGAAATATGCAAATATTGCATGTTACTGTGAATAACCGATATCTGGCGAATGTCAAAATTCTCCGGTGAATGTCAGCATTCACACAGTCGTTTCGTGCATGTACGAAATATTTGCTAAATATCATTATTTCTCACTTACACCGGCAAATGTCGACATTCAGCATGCACTGATGGTGAATGTTAAATAAAAATATTTTTATTACGTCAAGACAAAAATGCAACATTTTAATATGTCAAAATAGGAGAAAGCTTAAGTAACAGCATATTTAAATAAACTGTTGAACCTAAAACGAATAGAACATTCTTAATCATTAAAGAAAACAATGCAATAATAAACTTACACATAAATTATGTGATTATCGTTATACAATCTTATTTATTGCAACAATTTAAACTGTTATGGCACTTTGAATTGCACAAGAGTCCCTTGCTTTTACAACTGCATTTATTCGTGCAACACTTTTTTGCAATGATAGCGTATATAGCCTTACCCTCCACTTTTCGAATTAGTTGCAGCTGCTTCTCTCAGCGATATTTCCTGAGAAGAAATCTCATCTATAGAAAGTAACTTTTCTTTACAAATTACGAACTGATCTGTTAATGATGTCTTTTATTCGGATATCGCCGACGCCTTACCCCTCTCATCCTCCGCCACTCGAC